TATATATATATATATATATATATATATATATATTGAAAGCAACAATTAAATGAAAGTAGTTTGGATCATAATTTTTTACTAATAAACGTTGTTCTAAGGGTTAGGATATTTAAAAAGTAGACAATGAACTGTTCATAAGATTTTAAGGGATTTAACAAAACACAAATCCATATATACATTTAAGGAATACAAAAATTATTAAAGTAATCATTATAATTTACTCAGCTTGGAAATGATTGTTCATAAGAGTTTTAAAGAGCTTCTTTTCTAACTCAGCTGGCTGTAGTACAGCCCAAATGTTTCATGTGAATAAGAGGAAAAGGAAAGATTTAGTTTATGTGTTTTAAATAGAAATAGAACATTTCTCTCTATATATATTACAGATTAAACATCAATAAACATATAATTCTGTTGCAATACTTTTCAAATTCATGAGTTATCTAGCTGTGCTGCATCTGGGTCTCTGAGCAAGACCCTTAACCCCACACTGCTCCCCGGGGCGCCACACAATGGCAGCCCACTGCTCCCCAAGGGGATGGGTTAAATGCAGGGGTACATTTCTCCACTCTGAGATCAATAAAGTTTAGTTATGAACATGAATAACAGACAGATATCTGGTTTCAGATTTGCTATTTTGGTTTCTCTCCTCTTTATAACATCAGCTAATGCAATAAAACATAAAGTTTAAATTTCTTGAAATTTTCTCTTAATTAGAGAGAATTAGAAAATAAAGTCCTTGTTTTTTAATATGTCAGCTATAGTCTCTGGTAAGCAAAGTTGATATTTCATTCAGTCCACCCACTAGAGGGTTTGTCTTTCCAAGAAACAAACAATCATTGGAGAGCCAAACATCCACTCTGGACAGACGCTCTTATAAATTGATTTTTACAAAGAAACATTATTACTGCCTGTTTAATCGATGCATTACATAAATGTCTCCATACGTCCACAAACAGTTCTTTTTCAGATAAGAAAATAAGAATCCTGGATCTTTCCGATTATCTTCTATCTCATCATCATACATTGGAGTTTATACCAGAATATTAGAAACTATAAATAGTTGTCCTTTAAATGTTTCATTATTTACAATCGTTTGTTTGCTTTATTTTTGGGAATTAAACCTCCTTCCATCCATCCGTTTTCACTGCTTAATCCCAGTTGGGGTCGCGAGGTGTGCTGGTGCCTATCTCCAGCTGTCTAAGTCTCCAGTCCATCGCAGGGCAACACAGAGACAAATAATCATTCACACACACACCCAAGGAAAATTTAGGGGAGCCAATTAACTGGACTGTGGGAGGAAGCCGGAGTAGCTGAAGAGAACCCATGCATGCACAGGGAGAACATGCAAACTCCATGTAGAAAGACCCTGGGCCAGGAATCAAGCCCAGAACCTTCTTGCTGCAAGGGAGCAGTGCTACCCACTGCACCACTGAGCTGCCCAAGAGAGTGAAACCTTTATGTTCATAATGGGGAAAAAGCTAATTCTTAATAGTCCATACGTACTTATGGGATTTTAATGAGGCATTCAATCTGCAGAGCTGCAGAAAAAAAAAAACAGTTGATAAAGTAATTAAGATGGCATTATAACTGCTGCACCAGGACACCACTGGAAAACTCATTAGAGCATAACAAAATCATAAACAACCTCTCCAACCCTAATCATTGCCTATTTAACCTACTGGAAAAAAACCAGAGCAGTCGAAGCATCAATATCCAAGCTCTGAAATATTCATCTGCCATTAGCACACCAAATATATCTTCTTTCTGACTTTCCACTTGCTGTTATATTATGTTTTTTTTTACACTATAAGTGCATTTATTCTTATTAACATCAGTAGTACATTTCTTAAAATTTTCTAAATTTGTCATTTTTTTGTCGTTTGAGCAAAGATTCTAAAATCTGACAAAGAAGACTGTTTCTAACGTTATATGAAGTTTAAAAATCGACCTTAAAAAAGTGAAACAGTTCTGTAGTATCTAAGGTTATAGCTCCCCACACAAACAATGCCCTGACATCTAAAAATTCCTTACATCTGTTTAGATTTATATGAACCATAAATTATATAATTCAAGAACTATTTAAATGTAGCATGATTGCCCCATAATATTCAATTTCTTGATATTTTGTAGCAGTAAAATGGAATAAAATAAAATAAAAATTAGGAAGAAGTGAGCAAAAAAAAAAAAACAGTTACAGTTTATTAAGTTGTAACATTTTTAACTAAACAAAGGACTTCCTTAGAGGATGTCAAATACACAAACACAACTACTTGATCTCCATTCTTATTTTCCTAAAATGTATACTGCAGCTGCTTATACAAGGCTTAGAATTTTATTTCCAAGTTTTTGATGGAATAATAAAATCAAAGTCAATTTCTGTTTTAATATTTACTTAAATTCAGGTATGCAGAATGGCTTCAGTTAATGACTAGAACAAAAATACATAACATACATGCAGTCATAGGGAAAAATATTAAAGCCTGTTGGTTCTCTATTTTTATTTTTTTTTATTTTTTTTTTTTTTTAGATTCTTTAGTTAATAATAAACAAGAAATTGAAGAATACAAGGGTGGTCTGATATTATTTCCATGACAGTATATACAATTCATAGAGCAAATTATTTCAGTTGTCAAAATTATCTTTATTATATTGATTACACTTAAAGAATACTATCTGGGGAGTACATAATAAACACATAATAAACTGAAGACCCATTTTTTTTTACTTCTATAATGTGTTCAGAAGATGCTGAGTAGTAAACCTTTCATATTTAGCTTTAAATAAAAAAGCATCAGAAACTCTCTGTGACATTTCTGTCCTTCTGGGAATCAGCTGTTCTCCAGCTCGTCTCTTCAGCCCTGAGAGCAGCTTTTCTCCTCCCGTTGTCCCAGCACTTGATGTCCAGATGCCTTGCCCTCATGTGTCAGTGGCTGCTAAATAATCCCTCAGGTTAATTCTTCCCAATCTCATTAGAGTCACTAATAATAGCCAGATGCTCCCTGAGGAAGAAGGAATCATCAGATCTTCTGTGTGTTCCTATTCGTCTGTCTGCAGTCTTGCTCGAGACACAGGTTTTTTTTTCCAACTTTTGGCATCTGCAGATGATATTTTCAGAAAGCTGTCACTGCTATCAGTGATGCTAATGGCTTCTTTATGGTAGAAGGCAATAGAGATACCTGCAGGTTTGCTCTTTGCTGGCTGTAGAGTCAGCAATCCTCTCTGATCCCCTGATCAACTGCTTACCGGCAGTGACGACAGCAAACAGTCCACCACATCGCAGTTAGATAAGGCAAATCACAAACTGTTTGATATAATTATTAAAGTTTAGATCGAACAAAAAAAGTTTGCATTGCCTTTGCTTAAATTCAGGATGGGTTTCATATATGTACCCAAGGTCATCAATAAGCCCAAGGAAACCAAAAGCCACTGGTTTAAAAGTAAACAATTTTTTTATATAAAAACGCAAAAACAAACTAGATGAATATGAATTGCAGGCAGATGATGGTAAGTTGTTTAACAGCTTGGTAACCTGAAGGGGGAGTGGATGCTAGAGTTCACACGCAGGCTTGAATATTAGCAATCTAAAAGTGGCGATCCCCGCGGATTAATCCTGGATAAGTCGCACAGCTCGACAGTGAGCTGGAGGGGCAAGAAGAGACAGAGAGAGAAAGTTGATCTGATTGCACCTCAGCGGCCTGATGGTAATTAGGATGAAGGGAAAGTGTGGTGTAAATCTGCTGACCCCCGGTCAGCACTTTTCACCCTGCTGGAGCTGTTATAGAGCATCCTGGCTGCAGAGGCAAGACCACCAGAATGAAATGAGAGCTCGGTGGAGAAAAGGGAAACAAATAATTGGACGTTTGCCTTGTTCAATGCAATTACTGATGGGATTTACAAGATTCAACTGATTATACAATGGGCATACTCATCTGTTTCTAAAGGGGCT